TTTAGGGTTTAGGGTTTAGGCACAAACTAAGGATTCCACTTCAGCTCAATGCAACTATTATAGGGGCTTTAATAGCTTTAATAGTTACCTATACTATTTTAGCGGTTCCTTTTTTATAGATATAATATAATGCGCCGCCCCAAAACCCTACTCTAATTATTGAGGCCCCTACATTACTAGGTAAGATGTGTGTGTGTGTGAGAGGGAGAGAGAGAGAGTCTTCCTTACGTCGGTACTTAAGATCCTTAGCGCCAAGGGTCCATGTGCCTCTGTAGTAGTTGCTTGGGGATTAAAGGGTTCAGCTATGTCCCACATGGGCACACGGTTTAGGGTTTAGGGTACCCTGGTGGTAGGGTTCCTGTGGGTACCAAATTGGGCACATGCTTCGAAGAGGCCGAAGGCGCGAAAGTGGCCAAGGGCTCAGCGGGCCGATGTTTTAGAGATGTTAACCCGCCATATTCGGGTTTAAAATAAGAGCCTACAAAAAAGTGGGTTTTGGTAGGTTAAGGTAGGTTTAGAGGCATTTAGAAGGCTTCAAAGGTTTCCGATTTGGAGCGGATCACCGTGAAGCGGCGGGGCGAGGTTTAGGGCCAGTTTGGGAAAGTTGGAGGAGTGGTAAGGGTTTCGGATAGTGTGTGTAGTGACCTTGTTCATGGTGATGTATGCTTGGTGATGATGTTTTCATGGTGATGGTTGCTTGGTTATGATGCTTTTATGGCGATGGTTGCTTGGTGATGATCACTAACTAACAGTGCAAGACGATGTGTCACGTTTAGGATTTAGGGCAAAGCGCTTCAGGGGTTTAGGGCCTACCCTAGTCGTCCTGAACCCTTCGCTCGCTCGTAGCTTGGCCCAGCAGGAAGAGGATGCGTGTGCCTGCGGCCACGTCCTTCTGCTGCGGTCGTTTCGTTCGTTACGTATTCGTTTCATCTAGTGGTTGACTTTATAATTGCAGCATAAGGCTGCCCGCGAAACCGAACGTCATTAAGCCCCCCCCACCCCACCCCTCCCGCACCCGCCCCAAAAAGCCAGCAGAGCACATGACGGCAAACGGCACAGACAGAAAAACACAGAAAGTGCAAAGCGCGGGATAGCAGAAAACAGGGTTTCCGAAAGTCAGGGATACCACACGCAGGCCACGTTGTTCGAGCTTCGGACCAAGTCGCAACCAAAAGTGCACGACAAAAACTCGCGTGAGTTTTCGTTGTTTTTTACAAGCAAGCGGAAATGAGACAGAATCTTCGGCTACGAAGAGCGCAACATCTGGAAAAGTGCGAAAACCTCGTACAGGACGGTGTTTTCCAAGTGAGGGCAAGACAGCACGGAAGGAGAGGGGCATGCAAAAGCGCATAAACAGCAGCAAAACCACCCCGGAAAGTGAACCCGCTAGGCTAAACCCTAAACCCTAAACCCTAAACCCCTAAGGCCCCTAAACCCTAAACCCTAAACCCTAAACCCTAAACCCCTAAGGCCCCTACATCATACTCCATAGAGCCATAGCCGAAGCCGAGGACTCTCAACCCTGAAACCCCAAAGCATGCTTACGGTTTAGGGTTTAGGCTTTATGGGTTTAGGGTTTAGGGTTTAGGCTTTAGGGTTTTTAGGATTTAGGGTTTAGGGTTTTAGGGTTTAGGGTTTAGAGTAGTGGTTTAAGGTTAAGGTTTAGATTTTCGGGTTTAGGGTTTGGTACGTAAAAAGGTCTAGGGTTCAGGGTTCAGGGTATAGCTTTTAGGGTTTATCGGGCCGGATTTCCCTAGACCCGCAAGCATACCCAAACGAGACGCCAGTACGTGGGCTCCAGGGGCAACAGATGGGTGCGACGCAAGACGTCGGACAAGCCCTCCGGGGAAAGCTCTCCGTGCACCGATTTAGGGTTTAGAGTTCAGGGTTTAGGGTGTAGGGTTTAGGATTCAGGGTTTAGGGTTTAGGGTTTATAGGGTTTAGGGTTGTGAGTCTCCTGCAAAAGAAAAAAACAGCACGCTGGAGCTTTGCTCCGAAGGCAGCGATGCAGGAATGGTGTGTGGAGGGCATGCCGAAGCCATACGTGCACTTTCCTGCGACACGAGCATTCGATATCCATGATGCGCTTTATCATCAAGCACAAGGCCAAGCCCAACTGCCCGTACGCTCAAGACGGGCTAGAGAAGTCCCGGAAAATCTTGAAGGACTTTGTCCAGGAGTAACGAGGTGGCACTTTAAATTCCGGACACTGTGGTTTATCAGAAAGCTTGTGCGAATCCAGGGCCGGAGACTCTCCATTTGTCGTCCGTCCAAGCAGCTTGGAGTTCGACACGACCAGGGAGGTTTTTGAATCGTCACGAGAAGTCTATCTCCCGCAGAAAGGTTTTGTGCCTGTGTCTCGGCAACTCCATGCCTTGTTCCAGTGCATAAACGCGGCGTTTCCATCCCATAGAACTCCCTATCAAACTTCAACTCACCCTAAACCCCCTAAGCGCTATAAACCCTAAAACTCCAAACCCTAAATTCTCCTAAACCCTAAACTCCTACACCCTAAACCCCTAAACCCGAAACCCCTAAACCCCCTAAACCCCAAACCCCGGAAACCCCTTATAAACCCTTGAACGCTACACCCGAACTCACCCCGAACGTCCCTAGAGAGCCCAATACCCCGTAAATAAAGAATATAGCCTATATCTTGATATGAAGCCCCTTATAATTCAAGCTAAACCCTAAACCCTAATCCCTATATTCCTTTAAGCTGTATTGGGCTCTCTGTGTCCCTAAAGCTTCTGCTCCCGCGGCCGAGATCACTCAGTTCCTGTCGCACGAGGATGCAAAAGTCCGGGAAGCTGTTTGGTCCCCCAGAAGGGGGTTTAGGGTTTAGGGTAGGGTTCAGGGTTTAGGGTTTAGGGTTTAGGGTTTAAGGTTTAGGGTTTAGGGTTTAGGGTGTAGGGTGTAGGGTTTAGGGTAGGGTTCAGGGTTTTAGGGTGTAGGGTTTAGGGTTTAGGGTAGGGTTCAGGGTTTAGGGTGTAGGGTGTAGGGTTTAGGGTTTAGGGTTTAGGGTTTAGTCTGGGGGTTTAGGGCTGAGGGTTTAGTGTAGGGCCCAAACCAAAACATTACCAATACTATTTTTGGGGGGGCTCCTGAATATGAAGATTGTCTAATGGGCCCCAAAGCCCTGTTCTAATAACCAATACTTTTTTTTTGGGGGGGGGGAGCTAATCGTCCTAATAGACTCTAACACACCTGAGCTCCCAAACACCCTAAACCCCTAAACCGTAAACCCTAAACCCTAAACCCTAAACCCTATAGTATAATGGGCCCCAAAGTCTTAAGGCTCTAAGATTAGGGTTCTAAAGGGTGTGAGTGAGGAACTCACGGCGAAATCCACAGAGGAGTAAAGAGTCTAAATGGTGTGAGAAGCCCTTTAGGTGTTGAGTTTAAGTTTAGGGTTTAGGGTTTAGGGTTTACGGTTTAGGGGTTTAGGGTGTTTGGGAGCTCAGGTGTGTTAGAGTCTATTAGGACGATTAGCTTCCGAGTTATAGGATGGTTCAGGTTTGGGGGTTACCATTTGGGTAGTTGTCAAAATTATGGTCCCTTTTTGGGGCACCCTAAATGACAGGTGCCGTATTATAATAAGGACCCAAAAAAGGACCATAATTTTGACAACCACCCATTTATGATCTAATTGGACGAGGATGATGAACGTCTCAGGGCATA